TTTAAATTTTATGATATTTATAAAAATTTTTCTAAATTTTTTATATAATTTATCAAGTATAGATTTAAGATATAAAAATAAATTCTATCTAATATATCAGATATAATGTATAGAAAATATATTAGTATTTATATTAAAAATAATATTTATTATAAAAATATTAAACATAATTAATATATATCGTAATATTTAAGAATATATATTTTTAGTTTTATAATTTGTACAATAATTCTAATTTTAATTTTCTATTAATTATTATAAAAAAAGATAGTGATATTTTATATTAATTTATTTTTAAAATATTTAAAAATTATATTATTATATTAATATATATTAAAATTTTAATTAATTAAGAATTATTTAAAAATGTTTTATTAATATATTAGTTTTGTGATTTCAATCTTTATAAATTATTTGATATAAATTACTTTCTTAAATTTTTAAGATATTGATAAAGCAGTAAATTATTATTATTATTTATTTTAGTTTTAGTATATTAAAATTTATTAATTACTTTATAAAGATTTTAATTATAAATCTTTTTATTATATTTTATTTTTAATATATACTTTATAGCTAATAATTTTAATAAGACTTTAAAAATTTCTTATAAACTTAAATTAGAGTTTGTAGAATTTATCATATATCACTGCATATAGTATCACTTAAAAATAATATTTTTGTGATTAATACTTGAATATATTTACTATCTATATTAAACTAATTATAAATAATATTTAAATATTTTTTAAAGCTAAAATTTGTGAAAATTGATTAATAATCAGGTATAACATCATTTTATATAATGTTTTTAATTTTATAATTTTTATATAAGAGAGAAAAAATATTAAGTTTTTCTTAATATTTGTGAAGTATGAATTGAAGAAGGCTATGCATACAATAAGAAGTGGTTGGAAATAAAAACTAAATTCAATTTTTTTGATATTTTATTTATTAAAATTATTTAATTATAACCTATATATACAATATCCTCTGTATATTATATCTCCTTAAAATAGTATTCACTTATTTAATATCTGTGAGTACTATTTAATTTGAAAATCATATTTTGATTAAGACTCTGAATACTATATGCAGTAGTATACAGTATATGTAAATTTTAGTGAAAATTACATATTATAAGAGTTTTTAAAATTTGTTATTCTACAACTTTGATTTTTAAATTAATTAATAATTAGTTTGATAAGAAAAATCTAATGATAATAAAATTATATTTCTAGCATTAATATTAACCAAGTTATTATAAAAAGTATATATTACTATATGTCATTTGTAAGTTAAATAAAAGATATTCAAATTTCTAATTTAACTAATTACTAAAAAATAGGAATTATTATTAAATCCAAAATGATCTTAACTAAAAAATTTATACTAGAATTTGATTTATTTAGCATTTTATATAATTATAAAATCAATTAGTATTAATTCAATTATTAAATGGATAAAAATCTGAACATATATTTGTATTATTATGTATAGAATTATATAGTTCTTCATTTTATTTTAGACTAATATATATATATTTATTAAATATCATCTAATATAAGTATTATAAAAGTCTTAAAATAATATAAAGCAAAATCTAAATTATGTTTAAAATGTTTATTAAATAGAGTAATAATATAAATTATAAAATTTTGATAGGTTAAAAGAAATTAATATATTATTTATATATGTTTTTAATAGTTTATTTTATTTTTTTTTTTGATTTTTTTAGATTAATAAATTATGCTTTGTTTTTTCTGTTAATTTTAACCTTATTTAATCTTTCTTTATAAATATAAAAATCTTGTTGAATTGCTTATATTTTGATATGTTTAAATATAATCTTTCAGTAATTAAATTCTTAATTTAAAAATAAAGAATTTAATGTATTATTAGAAATACTTTTTGAATCTTTATTATTACTAGGTAACAGAAATGTTAAGAAGTTTTTAAAGCATTAAATATGGTAATCACAAATAGTTTAATCAATTAGCAAAAAGGTATACAATTATATATATAATAGACAAATGTAGTAAATAAAATCACATTAAAAGTAAGCAAATAGATTGATAAATTTATTAAATTATATAATATTTAATAGTCTTTTGCTTACATTTTAAACTAATTAAAATTACTATTTATTGAAATACTTTTAAGAAATCTTTAGTAAAAAACTTTTTATTAAAATTATTATTGAATATAAATTTAGAATTACTTATGATAAATAAAAAATGAAAAAATATATATAAATAAAAGAAAAAAAAATTGAAAGAAAAAAAGAATGATTATGAAAAAAAATTTAAGATTTATAATAATTTATTTAATTAAATAATTAAATAATTCTTAATTTATATTCATATTAAAAATAATATATATTTATTTAATATATTTTATACATTCTGTATAAAATCAGTATTTATATTAATTATTTATGAAATTTATTTTAAAAGAAATTAATAAAAAAAAAAAATAAATTAATTTTCTGATTTATTATATAAAAAATCTTTTAAAAACCTTTGAAAAAAAGACTCATTTTTTAAAAAATAAAAATTCTCTTTAAATAAAAATTAAAAAAAATTTTTAAAAGAATATATATAATAAAAAAAACTTAATCTATTTAAAAAAAATAAAAAATCACTCATAAAAAAAATGATATAGTAAAATAAAGAATAATTTTACATTTAAATATACAGTAGATAGATATTTAAGAGAATATAAGATTCACTTTTAAAAGAAAAAAGTTAGTAAATAAAAAAAAAAAAAAATCCTTAAAAAATGCTTATGACTAATAAAAATAAAAATAAAAAAGAAATTATTCTAAAAATAAATTAAATAAAAATTTAAAAAACACAGCTTATTTAATCAAAAAAAAAAATAAAATAATGATTTTACCTTATGTAGTAAAATATGCCAATTATCCTTCTATCCCCCAAAATATGGAATCTTTTTCCAAAATATCACCATATTTCAGAAAGTAGTCAGAACTTTTATGAATAAGATTATTGCCGACGAAACCATCAGTAATTTGAAATTTCAAAGGTTTAATCAAAAAAGTTTTAGCGTTTGAAAAGAAAATATCCAAAGCATCAGAATTTTTGATCATGACATCATAATTCAATTGTAGCAACTCTAATTTTTTTGGAAATGATCCAGAATTTGCCAATTGAATAATTCCTTCACTAATATCTATTCTATGACCCGGCATAGTATCACCTCGTAAAGTAAGACTTTTAATAAGAGGATTTGAGCGTGTAATTTCATGTAATTGTAAAACAGTTTTAGAATTTACAGCGATGTTTAAAGAATTTAATTTAGTACAATGATTGGCTATTGATGTGAAAAGGGTAGGAGCATTATATCCATCGATCACATATTGCCATTTTAAATGAATTACTTGTAAGGTTGATCCAGAATTTTCAATTATAGTTATAAGTGATTCAATTTGTAATCCAACAAGATCAATTTCTAATTTCCAAAGATTTTGAACGGGATTTGTCGTGAGTGGTTCAAAATAATCTTTTTTAACGCGTTCATAACTTTTGATGATAAGGGATTCCAAAGGTGATTCTCTAAATGCCGTGAGAGGAACCCTATAACGCCCCAAGGACGTTAAATTTTTTAATGTGCCATATTTATTGGAAAAAGCTTTCATAAGCAATGGCATGTCAGTACTTGCGTCAAGTGAGAAAGAAACCAACCCTTTCTCTTGAGCCTTAATCAAAGCATTTAACCCAACGCTGTCAACACATCCACATTTAATTCTAATATCTGTAATAGAATGACATATTTCGGCCAAGGCAAGATAGAATTCTGAAGGGAGACAACCTTCACAATGGAATGAACTCAAATTTGATAATCCACTTTGTACATTTGGAAGTCTTGCAAAAGAAATAAAAAATGAATCAAATCTTTGTTCATCAGTACAGAATGACTTTTCAGCACAAATATTTGTGAGATTTGATTGATTGAGGAATACAATGACTAATTCTCTCAAGATAGTATTTGCTATTCTAACATTATCATCATCAAAAAAATAATATTTCCTTTTGTCCATCCAAAGTGCAATCGCTCGATCCACGTTTGCCAAATGAAATGTTTTCAATAAAGTCACATAAGGAAAAATCGGCTTCTTTATAGATATTTCATCAATATCAATCGAAAAACCTAAGAGAAAATCTTTAGTTTCTTGTGATAAATATGATAAGTATACATTTAAAATTTTCCATATTTTCTTAGATTTTGAAATTTCAAAAATTTCGAAAGGATTACTCCATAATTTTCTAATTCCTGCAGAAAAAGTTCTTCTATCTATCAGAATAGCAGTATGAAGCGAGCCAATATCTAAATTCTCGAATATCTCCTCCCAACATTCTGAAGGTAATCGATTTGCCATGTTTAGCTAGCAAAAGAAAGAGTCTACCATTTTAGTCAATACTGACGTTGCACAGTTCATTCGTAATAAATTGATCAAGTTTCACAAAAAAGTTTAATTTATTTTCGTTGAAATGATGTCTTCACAATTACCCACAATACTTAATTCTACGTTTTTAACTTCTGGCTTAAGTAAAGGATTCTTTGAGTTTGTTACTAAAGTTGGAGAAGCTATAAGTAAACAGGTTAATTAGTGATACTTCAATATATATATTTAAGATATTTAAAAATTATTGTATATTGAAATTTGAATTAATTCAATTAATCAAGGAAGAAGATAGATATGTAACAGAGGAACTTACCTATCTAAAAAATAAATTAAATCAACCAGATGTCTCGACGGTATTTTAATAAGTCCTTTTCGAACCTTATAATAATTTCTTTTTTTATATTTTTTTTTTTTTAAAAAAAATCATTTTTTATAATTTGGGATTTACATAATTAGTATAAAATGAAAGATTACATAACAAGATTAATTTATTGTGAAATGTTGGGATATAATGTTGAATTTGGTCATATTCATGCTGTTAATTTGGCTCAAAGTGCAAAAGGATTATGGGAGAAAAGAGTTGGTGAGTTGTATTACTTATAAAGCTTCATCGATCCAGAGATTTATTAACGATTATTACTTGAAATTTGTAAATTATTAAATATTAATAAATTATTAATTAAAAAATATTAAAAAAAAAAAAAAAAAAACTGTTAAATGTTATAGGATATCTAGCATGTTCTCTATTCTTGCATGAAACTCATCAATTTAGTATAATGTTAATTAATACAATACAAAAGGTAATTAAAATATAAGTCATGAAAAATAAAATCAAAATTAATTAATTTAGCTTATATTATTTGTTTATTAGGATTTAAGGAGTAGCAATTATCTAGAAGTATGTGCTGCACTGACCGTATTATGTCATTTATTAAACAAAGAAATGATTCCAGCAGTATTTGGATTAGTTGAAGAGAAATTATCTCATCCAAAGTAAATGTAAAGATATGGTTCTCCCTTATACGTTTATAATTAAGCTGATTGACTCTTTTTATTCATAAGAGATACAGTCCGGAAGAAAGCTATCATGGTTTTTCACAGATTATTTCATGACACGCCTGAAATGATTGAACATCTTGACGAGAGATTTCGTCAAATATTAACTACAAGAGATCCGGGCGTATTAGGAGCCATTTTATGTCTTTTTGTCGATTTTGTAAAGGTATCGATCGTATAGTTTATTGAACAAAAATAAACTTTTATTTTTTCCTTGCGAAAAAACTTAACATTTTCCTCTTAGAAAGATCCGAGTAAATTCAAAGATTTGGTTCCTGTACTCGTAAATATTCTCGAACAAGTGCTTGATAGATATTTGCCTAGAAATTATGATTATCATGGAGTTCCTGCTCCTTGGATTCAAGTAAAGGTTATTGAAATGATGGGAATGCTGGCGCAGGATGATGAAAAGCAAGTATTTCAATTCTTTAAAATTTTGTTAAAATCATACTAATTAAAATTTCGTGTTATTTTTGTTAGGGTAAGTTCGGAAGTTGGACAATTGATTGTCCATACTTTGAAAAAGGCCGAAAATGGTGTAGATTGTGCTTACGGTATTATTTATTTTTTTAATAATCAATTTACTTACAATTTCAACAAAATTTTAAATTAATAAATAAAAAAAATGTATAGCAATAATATTTGAATGCATTCGCGCGTTAGCAAGATTACATCCACAAGTCTTGAGGGCCCTCATTCATAAACCATCGCATCTTAACCCACTCAGTATAATCACTCGCTTCTTAAAATCACATAATCATAATCTAAAATATTTGGGATTGATCGCATTATCTGAAGTTGATCCTATTTGGTGGGCTGAAGGTGAATGGTGTGGAGAGGAGCAAATGAAAGTTATTGTTGATTGTTTAGAAGAGAAAGACGATTCCCTCAAACGAAAGGTTGTATATTACACCTAATTTAAATGTGTTATTTCTTATTTATCATGATTTCGTTTTCTTTACTGAATATATGTGAAAATATATAAATAAATTTTTAGACATTGGATTTATTATATAAGATGGCTAATTCACAAAATGTGGTCATCATCGTGGAAAAAATGATCGAAGCATTACGCAATACTTCAGCAACCGATGAATTTTTGCGTAAATTATTAGTTGATAGAATTATTCAAATAACTGAAAAATATCCTTTAGAAATTTTGGTGTCATTTCGATTTTTTAACATTTTCCTACGTTATCTTTAATCGAATTTATGTTATTTTACACATTCTCTTCTGATTCAGAGTGGATGATAAAGTCCATAATTACAACATTCGAAATTGCTGGAGATTTGGTTCAAGAAAAAACCGGAGATTTCGTTTTTTTGATTGTGTCTAAAAGTATGTAACTAGAAGTGGTTGAAGAAAATATTATTGTTTTCATTTTTATTTTTTTTTGAATCTTTGAATGTGGTTCATTTTATAATCAGTTTTTCTTTACTTATTTTTGAAGATACCGAGAAAGGCAGTGAATTACGTAAATGTGCTTTCGTGGAAGCTTTAAAAGTCTTGGACAAAGATTTAAGCAATACCTCTTTGAGTTTACTTACCTGGACTGTCAGAGTATTTATTTTTTACATTTGTAAAGGTTTGTTTGATATTAGTTTTTGATTTTTTTAAAAACTTTTTTTTGTTAAAATAGGTGCTGGGAGAATTCATGGATCATTCAGATGCGCAATCCGAGAAAGTTATCGATACGTTCTGTGAATTATTAAATAAGGAGTATGGTTCGTATAATGTTAAATATTACGCTTGAAGTGTAAAAATAAAGATTTAACTTAATTTTTATGCGTTCAAGCTACCCGTGGTTTTCAAAGTTCAATAATTACCGCTTTACTTAAATATGTGTCAAAGACAAAAGATTGTTCAGATAAAATTATGGAAGCTGTCGCTAGGTGTAGAGAATCTTCTTCTAGTGATATCAAACAAGTACGTGCCATTACTTTTTTTTTTTAAAAAAAAAAAAAGATGATTTTTAAACCTTTTTTTTTTTTTTTTTTGCGTTTTTATAGAGAAGTCGAGAGTTTCTTATACTAGCAGATGATTTGATACTTTTGAACAAGTTACTGGAACCATCATATACCGACGAAATCACTGTATATCTATTAATATTTTAAAAATTGGAATTTTTCTTGAATTCATATTCTAATTAATCAATTTATTTATTTTTATAGATTGACGAGACACTTTCGTTTCTTGATGAATTTGTTGAAACAGCTTTGAAAGACGGAGCCAAGCCTTATAATCCTATACCAATTGTTCGAAGCAAGGAAACATCCGGTAAGAATATATTTAGGCTGTGATATATTCTAAACATTATAAATGAACGACCGATTAAATCTTTTACATCAGAATCCGAAAAAAAACCGATAGAAATTCGATATGAAGCTTACGACAAACCAACATTACCATATTATCGGAACCAATCATCAATTTCTAATTCAAATTTAAGTGAACCGAGATATGGAGACTCGGGACTTGCCACATCACCAATTGATGATGGCATTTTATCTAGTTGGAGCGGAAATCCACCTGTAACTCCAGGTCAGTTGGCGTGGATGAGCGTGTCACAAGATACGCTTTCGCCTGGAGATTATGGAGATTATGAAGAATTCGATGGAAGGTAAGCCAGAAATCTGGGTAAAAATTTGGATTTTTTTTTTTTTTAGAAAAAAAAATTTTTTAATAGTCATCAAAAAATAGACAGTCATTAATGGCGTCTGTTGCGAGGGTAGTAACGTCACCAAGTTCGTTGAAATGGAGCCATACCGGATACAAACCGATTCAACAGCAGTCATTGCGGTAATCTATTGCTTTATTAAACCTCTTATATTATTAAATGTTTAGTTATATACCCCTTAATTAAATATACTCTTTTAATTTAGCATCGTTTCTAATTCTCCAACATTATCAGCCATCTCTAGCGAAGAGTAAGAGTATTTTAAGAAAACGTTAAATATATGCGAGAGTTGTTCCATGTAAAAATTTTAATATATTTTTTTTTTTAAAAAAAAAAAACAGGCCAGCGAATAGTTCATCGAGTAACGTTCATCCGTTTTTGAGAACATCAGTCAAGGTAAACTTACAATCTCAAGAAATGTAAAAATGTTTATGCTAACATATTCCACTTTATATGTTAGACTACCCCTATAACATCAATTACGGCAAAGAATGTTATCACACATGAAAAGGATAGATTAGCTTCGGCTTTATTTAGTGGAGTTGGAACAAACGAGGGAATTAATTCTTCAATTTATGGACATTCCGTGGATGTTAGTAGAAGCGGTAATCTCCCCAAACATCATCCCCGGAAAAGCATGGTATGTACGACCATTTTAAGATAATTAATAAAATAATAATAACATTATTGTTGTTCTCGTTAGGGAGCTTCACAACATCATGCAAAGACCGAATCTACATTCTTAGAAACATATAGTAATATTAGGGGATCTCTGCTTATGAATAGTAAGTATATTATTTCTTAGCAGTGTATTTATATATATATATATATATATTTTAAAATTCTTTTTTTAGAGAATATACTACGACATTTAAGCCCTATCCAAATGACCATAAAAGATTATGAGAAATTTTGGACAAATTTGTCTAATGAAAGACAGGAAGAAGTGGTAGGAGAATTGGTTATAAACAATATGGAAATTATAAAGCAAAGATTGGAGGATGGGATAAATGAAAAGTTTAATGTTAATACAAGTGGAATTGGAAGCAGAAGGGGAAGTTGGAAAGTTATTGAAGTTATTGACAGAGAAGCTATTGCAGCATCTCAGTATAATCATCCTAGTCAGATCAGTAGTTCCACATTATCTCTGAGCGGAAATATAGTATTATTGCATTTTAAAATTCAACCTTTGCATTGTGTATTTACCATTAGAAGTAACATTGGAGGAATTATAGATGATGTTACGGAGGAGATGAAATCATATTTTATGTGGCAAGAATAATTTAGTAAAGATCTGGTCAAACATTAAAATTTTTTTATTAAAAAGTTGGAGTTTTGTATAATATAGCAGAATAAAATTAATTTGTATGAATCAATTATAGAGTTTATATAACAACTAGTCAATTGTCAAAATAAATCTTAACTACATATAAATTTTACATTAAAATGTAAATAAATCTTAATTACATACAATCTTCATCTAGGATAATTAAATAAATGATTTATTCTTTACCTATAAATTGAAGTAATAGAAAATTTTTATATATTATATTGTTGGTAATGATGTTGGTTATAGAAGTAACATTGGAACACATGATATTTTAATATTTTAATAATAAATATTTTCTATTCCCTTAAGTATGTAAAGTAAATATAAGCAAGTTTAAAATCATTTTATGTATTATTAACAACTTAGTTATAAAAAGATAAAATCAAAAAAAAAATATAGCAAAAGTTACATATATTTCTTTGCAAAACCTATAAAATTAATCATTTTAATCATCTACATTAAAATTTATAAATGTTATATTGATAGTCTTTTTGCTTTGCGTAAATTAAGATATTAGTCTTAAAATGAATATTCTGTAACATTAATAAAGATAGGTAAAAAACATATATATATAAACATAATATAATAATACTTGATATTTATGCTATTATGACTTTTGATAAACTATATAAGTAATTATTCTTTAGTCTGAAGAATTTTCTCAAATATGTTCATAAGACAGATATGCATAAATATTGAACCTTAAATTATGTTAATAAATAGATTAAAAATTTAATGTAATTAATTATCTTTTTTGTCTATCTTCAAGATAAATTGCAACTTCAACTTAAAGCGTTGAGTTCCTTTTATCAACTACCTATAAAATATATATTACATGTTTTTAGCTTTTTAGTAATTATTTATTCATAGAATACAAAAAGCATTTTTTAATTTTTGGTAAACTGTTTACATACAAAATACAGAAGCTTCACTAATTTTAAGTCAGCTTAGATATTAAGTTATTATGTCTAATGTAAACCTGAAATTATAGAATAGTGCTAGCCAAATTTTAACTAATTTTTTTACTATATCTACTATATCTACTGCGTCAGTTATATATCTTTCGCTGACCTGCAGATCAAAGAATTTGAAATGCAAATATAATCTCATTATTAATTAAAGAATTGATAGTGTGTTATGCATTTCTATGACCAGCCTATTTGATTGTTAGAAGTGTATTATCATGTAACCTAACTATTACGTTAATATAAGTATACAAATTTCACGTTTAAAATTAAAGATGCAATTTGTATTATTATTATCAGCTCATTTATACCATTCTGAGTATATATCTAAAAAAGTGTAAGCTTCTACGCCTTTTAAAAAAAGATGCATGATAAGTACTAATATTTTATAATAGATTATGCACTTACCTACCCTAAATAATACTTATCTTCTGAATATATATATATATTACATATGCCTGAATATATATCATTGAGACATAGCCTTTATATTATATCCAGATACATACTAGCAATAGGATATCCTTCTTCTATTATTTTATATAAAGATTCTAAAGAAAGATATCTTGGATAATATATCCGGATACATACTAGTGATAGGATAGTCTTCTTTTATAATTTTATATAATATTTCTGAAGAAGACTACCTAGATGATATACCCAGATATATACTAGTGATAGGTAGTCTACTTCTATAATTTTATATAATATTTCTGAAGAAGACTATTTGAATGATATACCTAGATATATACTAGTAATAGGGTAGTCTTCTTCCATAATTTTATATAATATTTCTGAAGAAAACTATCTGGATGATATACCCAAATACATACTAGTAATAGAGTAATCTTCTTTCATAATTTTATATAATATTTCTGAAGAAGACTACCCTAAATATCACCTATTAGGAATATGTTTATTTGCGATTTGCTTGTTAACTTGATATGTATTTTTTATATCTATCAAAAAAATAAATTAAATATTTCTGAATTTTATAAAGTTAGTATACCTTATCAAACTAATATCATGCATACATTAACTAATTTTGACTAAATTGATTATGAAATTCTCATCTGCTATAATAGCGTCAGCTCTAATGAATATTTAAGTGATTCAAGCAGTTATACTGATAATACTTAAGGTCAGATGATTATAATGATTATGAGTTTAATTATGAGTTAGATAATAAAGAAGCTATCTGTACTTCAACTAGCACTATCAAGATTCTATTAGTTCAACTACTAAATATAAAAAAGCGAAAGATTAATGTAGCATATACTTTAAGGCAGAAAAAGTTTAATGATAATTTTTCTTCTAAGGACTTGCTAAATGCCATTTGAGAAATTTTCCTATCACTATCTAGAAATATATTAGATGAAAAAGGATCATTAGAATATCTTCCAATTTATTCATTTCTTTTTTTGAATAAAAAAGGCTCTAGTTTATATAATACTTATGACCAGAATGAAGTGAAAGATAAATTAGTTATCAAAATTAATCAAAATAATCAAGCCTTAAATTTTTTCATTATAGATGACATTTCTGAAGTATATAATTTATTGAGATTCATAAATGTATTAACAGTCAAAACTTTAAGAACTGTGATCAACATCAATGTGCTGAAAGAGAAGTATGAAAACAGCTAATGTCAAAAGACAAGAAGTATTCATCCAAATCTATTACTCTTTTATAAGAGCTCTGTACTGAATTTTTAATTGTAATTGAAAAAATATTCTTAAAGGATTAATAATTACTACATCATCAGATCTTAGCAAGTGTAATTATCATATTTTATATGCATCTGTTCCTCTTATTGATTACCATGAACTCAAAGTATTTATAGAATTAATATATACCATAACTGGAAAAAAGTTTAGCAAGTATATTGATAAAGAATTACTTGATTAAAATTTTAACCTTCATCTTATCAGTTTAGCAAAAAAAGATCATGTGAAACATATCCTGTTATCTTTGATAACTAATAGCTGAAATGAATTTGATCATATTAGAGTTTAACCACCTTCTAGTTTAAAACTGAAGTAAGATCTTGAATACTTAGCATAGAAAAAAAATAATAATCCATTAAGAATATCTATAGGTCAGGATATATTACAAAAATGTGCAGACTTAATTTTACAAAGTATTCTAATTATCTTAGGGATTGGACTATCAAAGAAAAGAACTTAGAAAACTTTATATATTTTAACTGAAAAGCTTCACTAGGATGTTCACTCTACAAATATATATATAATAAGAATTAGCCATGGTTTAGTATATATATGCTAGTAGTAGTAAATTCATCATAAAATATTTTTGGCAAAAATAGTGATAAGCATAGAGAAATTTTTAAATGTGACCCATCTATTATAGAAAAAATTCAGCGAGAAAATAAAATTCTCTGCAATTAACTCACAAGGTAAAAGTTCCTAGTTTTTCTAAAACTTTCATAAAATTCTCAACTTGAATCAAGTATAATGACCTTTTTACAGTAATAAAAACATATGAAGAGAGGTATATAAGACAATTACCCAATAAAGGCAATATTTATGTGAGGTCACTTTGGAAAACGGAAAAAACTTATATTCTTGAAAATTTAGCTATTTTTTATTTCTTAAATAAATATATATTATATTCTTATCATAAATATCAATAAATGTTATATGTAATGATGTAATATAATCAGCTAACAATCCTATATTACATTTTAATTGCATATATATATGACAAATACAATATATTAGCTAATACAAATAATCTATAATTTTCACTTTAAGTGTATCTTACTTCTAAAGTAAAAAAATACTTTTATATCTATAAATTAGCTTTACCTGTAACTGCAGTCGAGTGCATAATTTTTTTGCAAGCATAAACATATATATATAAATATCATATCTTCACAAGCTTCTTTACCTACTTCACTTATCTCAATAATGGAAGAAATTTTCATTAGAACAATATTGAACATTATTAAAGATTTTAATACAGAGGAACTTATTGAATATTTGGGAAGAAAAAACTTAAAACTTAATGAAGAGAATTCCACATATCCAGAACTTAACGTATCAACTCAAACTGTCCAACGTACCCTTAAAAATAAACTTAATTATATTGTTTGTCGACTACAAGTGGTTTTCCTTCTTAAGCTGAATTATATTGAAGCTCGTTTTCAATAGACCATAAACCATCGCCAAGATGAAGACAATATTAAAATTCTTCGCAAAAAGAAAATTTCAGGTCTTACCTTTTTTTGAGACAAGTAAAGAAGTTTCAAAATTATGGCTTGAAAGTTGATCCTGCAACAACACTTGCAAAATTTATTAAAGGTCTCAAGCAGAAATTACGTAACTATTTCTTACTTAAAACTCTTGATGACTTGAAGGAAGTATTGCGTAAAAATAAGGTTAATGGTAAAGATATAACAAACATTAAATAATTTACTCCTAGTGAGTGATTATTTTTTATTTTATACCTGCTTTAGAATGGTCTATCATAAATATAGTAATAATGCTTATTTTTTCTTTACAGTTTTTGACAAGATTAGTAATGATGATAAGATATTTGAATACTATATAGAGGATATTATCTTAAAACTTTTAAATATGAAAACTATGACTGATGCTAATGAAGTAATGCATTGTGAATTTATTTTAGTAATATTATATACATCTATTACTATAGCCAAAAAACTCACAATTTAAGATATATTTATAGTCTTGCAGAAAGATATTTCTGGTGAAGATGCAACAGGTCAAGTAGACTATACGATCAAAAATTTAAAAGATCTATTTTATATTGAGAAAAACCACGCAATATTAAGATTGAATATGCTCAGATAAGTTTAATACTTGATTTGTATTTTTAGAGTATCAATCTGAAAAAGATTTAATAATATCAACTCATTTATTTCTTAGAATTTAGTACAGCTTAAAGCGCATTTTAGACAAATAAAAAGAAATAAACTGTGAATTAAACATTTAGAAACAACTA